CGCCGGCCCCCCGCCCCCCGGGGCCCCGCCCTCCCGGGCGCCACTCCTTCCCGGCCGTCTCGCGGGAGCTAGGAGCCCGCGGCCGCGGCGTGTCCCCTCTGCCAGTCTGTCCCAGGGTCTCTGGCTCTCCCTGTGGGGCACTGGAGCCCTCTGTGTTCTCCGTCTCTACCAGTCTCTGTCTCTCGGCCCGTCTCTCCGCGGGTCTGTGTTTCTCCGTCGGACTCCGTTTGTGAGTTTCTGTTCCTTTTTTTGCACGTCCGTTTTTGTCATTATGTGTCCCTTTGTGTCTATGTTTCTGCCCTCTGCAGATCTCTGACTCCGCCGACTGTCGCAGTAGTTCTCTGTCTTTACTGTGCGGGCTGAGCCTCTTTACCCCATGTCTCTGGCCTGCTCCCTCCACCACGTCAGTACCCTCAGACCCTCCCTCATCCTTTTCTGACAGCCAGATACATACTGGACAGAAGTTTCTGGCGGGCCACAGCCTGCACAGTACCACTCTTCCTGCAGGCATGGTTGGTTTCCTGTGCAGCGGTGCTGGACCCGAGGCCTTGTGTCCGGTGTGAGCTTGGCCCAGACCTTGGCTAATGATGTTTCTCATCAAAGCAGAATGGGAGAAATGATTCCCTGGATTTGGAGGGACCAATACCGGAGGCCCGAGGTGTGCCCCCACCTCCACGTGGCTGTGGGTCTCCCCCCATTGAGTGACATCTCACTACCTTTTTGTCTCTAGTTTGCCAGACACCGTGAGATACAGGAATTACTGGGCACAACGTTTTACTTTTAGGGGTTTTTCAGACTTGGTATTGAAATGAGAAGACAGGAACATAACAGAAAACATGGACTGTGACATCAGGCATGGGCAGGAGTCTTTCATACTGCGACCAGAGGGATGGGCAGGTAGCATAGTGGTTAGAGGTGCTGGACTCCCACATGGCCCACTGCGGTTTGAGTCCCGGACCTGGTGGCTTGCTTTCTCACTCCCCCCTCTGTTTCTCTCTGATTAAACTGGAAAACAATACTGTGAACAGACACAGATCATGCCATCTTTCTGACCTCAGCTCTTCCAGCTCTGAAACAGGGCCTATAGTTTTTTTTAATCTACGTGTAGTTTTCTCGTAATGCTCATTTTCTATGAACTCTTTCAAAGCCCTTCAGCATCTCCGTGTAGCCGGACTGTGTGAGGAGTCAAGCGTGTTCGTAAAATCCTCAGCGCTGTGCCTGGCCCTGGGGTGATGGGCTTTTCTGTTGACCTTTGCAATTTTGGGATGCCGGATATCCACACCCAGTCTGAGATAGGAAACAGGATGGAAGACGTTTCCACTTCCTGACCCCTTCCCATGTACGTCCTCGGGAAGTGTACACGTGCCAGCGTGGGTTCCAGCTGTGGCACCGGCTACAGAGATTCCTCAGCGCTGTGCCTGGCCCTGGGGTGATGGGCTTTTCTGTTGACCTTTGCAATTTTGGGATGCCGGATATCCACACCCAGTCTGAGATAGGAAACAGGATGGAAGACGTTTCCACTTCCTGACCCCTTCCCATGTACGTCCTCGGGAAGTGTACACGTGCCAGCGTGGGTTCCAGCTGTGGCACCGGCTACAGAGATCCCTGCAGCAGCCGCAGACCAGTGTGGCAACTGGGTGTTGGCTCTGCAGCCTACTTGCCTCTTAGCCTTGGGTAATGATGATGGAGACTGTCATCCGACTGTCCCTCAGCCAGGTGGCCTGTGCCTGGGAGCAGCCGGGTCTGCAGTTCTAGAGATGGCCGCCAGGTGGTGGCAGCAGGAGCAGCTGTCCGTAGTGTCTGCTGAGGGGTTCTGGGCTCCCTTAGGTTGCCCGAGTTTGTGCCCTTAGACCATAGAATGAGAGTGACCACAGGGCGTGGTCCTGGGAGGGAAGGGAAGCAGATCCCAGGGAACAGCATGAGAAAGTGCATGGGACACCCAGGCCACATACCCCTAGGTAATGGCAACTGCTTCTTTCCCGGAGGTGGGGTCCATCCCCCCAGTCTCTATCCCACTCCCAGAAAGAGCCCAGAGAGCAAGGGAGAATCTGGAGAGCTTCGGGCCTTCCCAGGCCACTCCCAGGACTGGGCTCCACCCCTCCCCTGCGGAAGACGCCACTGCCGCACCATGGGGGGTAAGTCAGCCCAGCGAGGCTGTCCTGGGGGGCCACTTCTCATCGCATGTGGCACCCAGGCCTGGCTGCAGGGCTGTTGGCAGTGTGTATCTCAGGGAAGGTAGGACTTGGTCTGGCTCTGGTGTGTGACTTAAAGCATGCCCCACTGCATTAACCCTTCTTTTAACTCACCCCAAACCCTCTGCTGTCTGACCTGTGCTGGGGCCATAGGTTGGAATCTGCCGTGGCCTGACGAGCGTTGTGGGTACCTGCACATGAGTGCTGTAGAGGCGTGGGCCGCAAGGGAGGGAGCTCGTGGCGGGGGGCAGCACTGGCCAGGACATCGGAGGTTGGCCCCGAAGGGTCAGCAGGAGGCTTGAAGAAGAGCCGGCTGGGTGGAGCCCAGAGCAGGAGGGATTGGGTAGGAGGCGAGGTGAAGCTCTGAGTGCCCCGGTGAGGGCACGGGGAGATTGGGATAGCGCAGCTGGAGATGGGCCGGTCCCAGAGGGCTTTGCCTCCCACCAAGGCATCTGGCTCTATCTTATAAACAGAAGGGCCTGAGTGGGTCAGGAGCTGGAACCGAGGGGCGAGGAAGCATGGAAGGGGACTTAGTGGGCAGAGTCTGTAAGAGCTGTTGGCTCCTTGCTGCCTCTCAGCTGTAAAGCGACTCCTTTGCTGATCATTTGGGGACGAAATGGGGGCGATTCGAGAGGAAGCTTCCCTCTTGCATCCCTCTGCTCCTCTCTGGCTGTGTTGGGGCAAGCGTCTGTGGACCCACCGTCCTCAGAGCTTGCTGACTGACAGGCCAGTCTCCAACATGAGATCCTGGGTCTTTCGCCTTCCCCAGGTGAGCTGGGTGTGGGCGCGCCTGTCTTTCTGTCCTTGTGCGTCCCTCATCTCTGTCCTGTGACTGCTCTTGGACTGGAGGCCTGGGTGTTCTCGGTGAGCTGCCCCTGCCTGTGTGGGTCTGTGTCTCCTGGGCAGCACGGCTGACCTTGGAGTGAACACCTGGGGCCGATGCCAGCAGGCCTTGTCTGGGGGACTTCCAGGTTGACTAAGAAGCGGAAGAAGACCAAGCCACTACAGTGGGACCCTGCTGGGGAGCAGGTTTGGAAGGCTCTGAGGTGGGGCTCTTGCCGTCCACCCGCAAGTGCCACACACACAGCCTTGTTCCTGCCCTAGAGCAGCTTGTAGTCTCACCAGGAGTCTCTCAGAGTGAGGCAGAGCGTGTCCCTGGGCAGTTCTGCAGCCTGGGGGGCTTCCCAGGGCACGTAGCACGCCGGCCTGGACAGGCGAGCAGCGTTCCGATGTGGGGACAGCCGAGCAAAGCTCTGCAGGCGCTTCTGCTTGTGCACTAACCCCCTGCACCTGCCCTCCTGGGGGCCAGAGAAGGGATCAGGTCTGCCCAGGGCTCCGACTTGGCTCCACCCTCCTGACCCCACCTGCTCTGTCCCAGGTCCAGGTTGCTCCCCGGCGGCCTCCCTCGGAAGTGCTCCGTCTTCCACCTCTTCGTCACCTGTCTCCTCCTGGGCTGCTTCTCCCTACTCTGGCTGCAGCTCAGCTGCTCTGGTGACATGGCTCAGGCAGCCAGGGGACAAGGGCAGGAGACCCCAGGCCCCCCACGGGCCTGTCCCCCAGAGCTGCCCCCTGAGCACTGGGAGGAAGACGCATCCTGGGGCCCCCATCGCCTGGCCGTGCTGGTTCCCTTCCGCGAACGCTTTGAGGAGCTGCTGGTCTTTGTGCCCCACATGCACCGTTTCCTGAGCAGGAAGAAGATCCAGCACCACATCTATGTGCTCAACCAGGTGGACCACTTCAGGTAGAGCCCTCCGGTCCCCCTCTCCCAGGGGTCGCCTCACCCTGGGGTCTCAGCACCTGTCCCCTCTTGTGGCAGGGACCCAGAGCCCGGCAGGCCTTGCCTGGGTGGTGGACTGTCTCATTGGGCATGATGGGACTCTTTGGGGCAGACCCCAACCTAATTTCCATTTTTTTAAAGAATTATTTATTAGTATTATTGTTAATATTATTTTTCACATAAGTTTTGCCAAAGAAAGACAGAGAGAGAGAGAGGGAGAGTAAGAAAGCAAGCCGCCACGTCCGGGACTCAAACCATGGCTGGCCATGTAGGAATTCTAGCACCTTAACCACCATGCCACCTGCCGGCCCCCTAATTTACATTTTACAAAGGTCTCCTTGCTTGCTGCACACGGGTTAGAGTGCACCAGGACAAGAGAAGGAGCTGGGAGGTGGCCGGGGGTCAGTGTGCTGATCCGAGGTGGGGGCGGACGGCCGAAGAGCAGACAGGACCCGCTGGTGATTGGCTGTGGGTCTGGGGAGAAAGAGGGACAAAGCCTTGGCTTTCAAGAGGCACACGGGGCCAGCAGGTGGCACGGTGGTTGAGGCGCAGGACTCCCACTTGACTGCTGTCACGCTGGGCGCGTGTACACACAGCCAAAATCCTGAGAGGATAGTAGAGGAGGAGGGATTGTGGCGTGGCCATCTCCCTGCGGGGCGATTTCTCTCTTCTCTGTCACTGGCGAGTGCCTGCACCCCATGGCTAAATAAATAATGAATAAATACATTTTCCTGAGCATCTTACTCCCACCCCCCAGCTCCCCAACCCCAGCAGGTCTGCCCTCCTCCTGCATTTCTCCCCTGACGCCTGCCGTCCTGTTACAGCATTACTTGTCTATCTGCTCCCAGTGGGACGGCCCTCCGGGAGCGGGTGCCCTGGAACCCTTGTGCGGTGGTGGTGGAGGGGCAGCCTCGCCGTGAGGCCTGGGCAGGAGCTTGGGCAGTGTCCTCCCTGGCACTGCCTCCCTGCAGGTTCAACCGCGCAGCGCTCATCAACGTGGGCTTCCTGGAGAGCGGCAACGGCACGGACTACATCGCCATGCACGACGTGGACCTGCTGCCGCTCAACGAGGAGCTGGACTACGGCTTCCCCGAGGCCGGGCCCTTCCACGTGGCGGCCCCGGAGCTGCACCCGCTCTACCACTACAAGACCTATGTGGGCGGCATCCTGCTGCTGTCCAGGCAGCACTACCAGCTGGCGCGCCTGGCTGGGGCCCTGAGCAGCCCAGCAGCACGGAGCAGCGCCCCTGGGTCCAGCACATGGAGCCTGGCTGCCTGGCCGGGGAGCAGGGGCAGAAGGGGCACGTCGGCGGGGGCCACTGGTGGTGGTGACGGACCTGCTGCAGGCTGACCTCCTGAAGTGGGGATTGCTTGGTTGAAGAGCGGGCATGTGGGGAGGGTCTGGCTTCAGTGCAGCTTGTCTCCTCAGTCAGTGTCGGGATGATTCTGTCTCTTGGCATCTTGTGGCGCTGCCGTCCCTGAACTGGCTGTGTTTCCAGATGTGCAGGGTGGTTGGCCCAGCCACACCCGCGTCCGTCCAGGCCCCATCTGCAGGGATAAAGCCCTCGTCCCCGCAGCCCAGGCAGGAGTCCCAAAAGGGAAGGGCACGGGCTCTCCACTGGTCCAGCTCTAGTCCTAGGCCCTTCCGAGAGTAGTCTCCCTAGGGACCAGCAGATGGCGTAATGGTTACATGGCTCGACTCCCACATGGCTGACCACGGTTCTAGTCCCAGACCAGGTGTCTTGAAACTCGTGCTGGGCGCGTGCTGGGTGTGTCTGTGTATGTGCCCAAGATCCTGGGAGGAGAATGGAGTAGGGATTGTGGCGTGGTCATCCACCTGGGTGGTGACTTCTCACTTTCTCTCTGTCTTTTACCCCCAAGGACAAGCACAGGTGCCCTAAGGCAACCCCTCCTCCAAAGAAAAAGAAAAAGAGTAGTCCCGGGAGTTGGGGGTTGGGAGGGTGGGTGTGGCTGAGGTAGCTTATTGACAAAGCCGCTTTGTTTAACTAGAGCCCTGGAGTGAGTGTAAATACAGGTGTCACCACAGGGCCCACGCCTCCCACACAGAGCAGAGACCAGGGCAGAGCCACCCCAGGAGGAGATGGAGTCAGGGAGGCAAAAGCAGTAGGGTAGACACTTCTGCCCACCACCAGCTCCCATGAGAAACCCCCCAGTGAATCGTCTAAGGTCCTGGCCACCAGGAGGGGTAGGCTGTGCTGGCCTCCCGTCTGCACCCCCAGTACTGCAGAGGCCGGGGGACCCGCGGGTGCCTAGTGTTCCCTCGGAGCGGCCACGGGAGCAGGGGCCGGGCCCGGCCTCGCCAGGCTCAGCTGGTGCTCCCCCGGATGTGGGGGCCACGCGCACCCCGAGAGAGCAGGCAGGTGATGATGGCTGTCTTCGTCAGTGCAACGGGATGTCCAACCGCTTCTGGGGCTGGGGCCGCGAGGACGACGAGTTCTACCGGCGCATTAAAGGGGCCGGGCTGCAGGTGAGTCCCGGGGGTGAGTCCCGGGCGGCCTCGGAGCTCGCTCTCTCCAGCGGTGGCAGCCCTGGTTTCGACCTCTGCCCTGCTCCAGGCCTGGCTGGCCATCCCTTCCCCTGCCCTCAGTCTCCTCTTCTGCAGATGGGAATACAGGCTGCTGCCCGTGCCTCCTGGCAGGCGGCGGGAACCCAGAGGAGGTGGGTGGGGGCCGGGCCTCTAGGAGGGCAGCCTGACCCCTGCTTTCTCTGGCCTCCTCAGCTTTTCCGTCCCTCGGGCATCACGACGGGGTACAAGACATTTCGCCACCTCCACGACCCTGCCTGGCGGAAGAGGGACCAGAAGCGCATCGCGGCTCAGAAGCAGGTGCTGGCTGGGTTCTGTCAGGGCCGGGCCGGTGATGCCGTGGGAACCAACGGGCCCAGGCGGTTCCCCACGTTTTCTCAGGGCCCCGGCCCCCTCCCCCTGCTTGGCCTAGGTCAGTACACTGGCATTCTGCTTGGGCACCATGCCCCACTCCGGCGGCCACCCTGGGCACTGTGGGTCCACCCAGACCTGCAGTCTGGGTAGGCTGTTGGGGAGAGGCCTCAGTTGCAGGTGCCAGGGTCCCAGCCAGACCTTTCCGTGCCCACAGGCCTCCTCTCTGGGAGGCAGGTTCACCCAGCAGAAGGACCTCGCTCTCCTGCATGCCAGGGGGACCTGGGGAGAGGCTCTGCTTCTCTGACTGAGCCTTGGGTGCCTCCTCTCGGGGCTGCAGACCTAGCTGAGGGGGTTGCGTGTGGTTCATCTCAGCCCTGAGCACACGTCTCCTCCCCTCACCTCTGCTCCCCTTCTCCTCTGCCCCCCTTCACTCTCCTCCCCCTTCACTCCTCACCTCTCCTCCCCATTCTCCTTCCCAGGAGCAGTTCAAGGTGGACCGGGAGGGAGGCCTGAGCACCGTCAAGTACCACGTGGACTCCCGCACGGCCCTGTCCGTGGGCGGTGCCCCCTGCACGGTCCTCAACATCATGCTGGACTGTGACAAGGCCGCCACACCCTGGTGCACTTTGGGCTGAGCCAGCTGGGCGGTGAGGAAGCTGTGCCGCCAGGTCACCGCACCGGGCCTGGCTGGCCATCCCTTCCCCTGCCCTCAGTCTCCTCTTCTGCAGATGGGAATACAGGCTGCTGCCCGTGCCTCCTGGCAGGCGGCGGGAACCCAGAGGAGGTGGGTGGGGGCCGGGCCTCTAGGAGGGCAGCCTGACCCCTGCTTTCTCTGGCCTCCTCAGCTTTTCCGTCCCTCGGGCATCACGACGGGGTACAAGACATTTCGCCACCTCCACGACCCTGCCTGGCGGAAGAGGGACCAGAAGCGCATCGCGGCTCAGAAGCAGGTGCTGGCTGGGTTCTGTCAGGGCCGGGCCGGTGATGCCGTGGGAACCAACGGGCCCAGGCGGTTCCCCACGTTTTCTCAGGGCCCCGGCCCCCTCCCCCTGCTTGGCCTAGGTCAGTACACTGGCATTCTGCTTGGGCACCATGCCCCACTCCGGCGGCCACCCTGGGCACTGTGGGTCCACCCAGACCTGCAGTCTGGGTAGGCTGTTGGGGAGAGGCCTCAGTTGCAGGTGCCAGGGTCCCAGCCAGACCTTTCCGTGCCCACAGGCCTCCTCTCTGGGAGGCAGGTTCACCCAGCAGAAGGACCTCGCTCTCCTGCATGCCAGGGGGACCTGGGGAGAGGCTCTGCTTCTCTGACTGAGCCTTGGGTGCCTCCTCTCGGGGCTGCAGACCTAGCTGAGGGGGTTGCGTGTGGTTCATCTCAGCCCTGAGCACACGTCTCCTCCCCTCACCTCTGCTCCCCTTCTCCTCTGCCCCCCTTCACTCTCCTCCCCCTTCACTCCTCACCTCTCCTCCCCATTCTCCTTCCCAGGAGCAGTTCAAGGTGGACCGGGAGGGAGGCCTGAGCACCGTCAAGTACCACGTGGACTCCCGCACGGCCCTGTCCGTGGGCGGTGCCCCCTGCACGGTCCTCAACATCATGCTGGACTGTGACAACCCCGCCACACCCTGGTGCACTTTGGGCTGAGCCAGCTGGGCGGTGAGGAAGCTGTGCCGCCAGGTCACCGCACCACAGGCTCAGGACAGCCCGAGTCGGCCCCGCCTAGCCGGGCCGTGCAGTGGCCAGAGCCAGACACCGAGCTCGGCGTTCCCGCGGCCCACGGGGTGGCTTAGCCAGGACTGGATGCTCTAGGGCCTGGACAGAGGCTGGGGCATGGCCCCCAGGGGGGCTGTCTGCCTGCCTCCCCAGCCCAGCCGCCCTCCTTCATGTGCTGAGCCCCTGGGCCGTGGGGGGTTGGCAGGACACCTCGGATTCCCCACGCTGTTGTCCCCCGCTGGACCACCTCGTGCGAGGTACAGAGGAGAAGCCAGGCGGCTGCTGAGGGGGACAGTCACGACTGGGAAGTGAGAGTCTCAGGAACAGCACGGACCCCACAGAGCGGAGCGGTGGGTGCCAGCTCGAGCTGGTTGTCACCACGCGGGAACGTGGGCCTCATGTCATGAGATGTTCTGATTTTTCAAAAGAAACTAGATTGCTGGATTCTTAAGTGACATCTTTCCATTTTTAAATGATAGCAATTAATCGAAACTCTCGGAAGCGTGGCAAGCCGAGCAGAATGCCTGTGACCGACTGACCGACACCTTTGTCTCCTCGGGCCCGGGGGCAGTGAGGCAGGACTGGGGCTGCGAGTCGGGCAGCGGAGCCCAGGGCACGTGGTCCTGGCCACCCTTCCCGGCCTCTCAGCTTCCGGTCTGCGCCCTCAGTGTCTCCGAGCCGTATGGCCACCTCCAGCCCTGGCTGGCCCTGGCCATGTTCAGACTCGGGTGGAGTGTCGGTGTGGAGTGTCGGGGTGGCCTTCCGGAGCCCCGCCTCCTGCAGGAGGAGGTTGCAAGAGCAGGCTTGGGAGGGGCTGTGCCTCAGCCAGGCTCGAAGGGAAGGGCCAGGTTTCTGAGTTGGGTGGAGGAAGTTGGAGAATCCCGGGGTGTTCCAGAGCATGAGGGGAGACCAGTGATGACTGAATGCCGCTGAGAGGTGGAGGAAGAGGGGCCGAGGGAGGTCGTGGCGTCGGAGTAACCCTGGAGGAAGCAGTGGGGAAGGCTGGGGTTCATGAGTTGGGGCGAGGGGTGCCAAACGCGATCGCACCCCTTCTTGGCATTTGCCAGAAGTTCAGGGCTGAAGCCAAAGACTGTGGGGACCAGGAAGGGTTGCTGTTAGTGCGGGGACATGAGAGGCTGCAGAAGCAGGGGTCGAGGTCCTGGGCTTGGGAGGGCAGGGTCAACACGAAGGCTCCCTCTGAGGCTGACCGCAGGGGCGGGCAGCCGTGGGATTGCCTGCTGCGGCTTGTGTGTGAGCCGAGAGACGTAACCAGTGGCAGCAGGCAGGGCCCTACCTGACCCTGCAGTCCCTCAGCTCAGCTGGTCTTGCCCAGGGAGTGGGCATCACCCCCTGAGGGAGAGGCTGGCAGGCCTGACAACAGCACAGGGGTGGGGAAGGGACCGGCGCGCTTTCTGGGTGCCAGTGTCCTAGGCACCGCTGGCAGCCTCGTCCTGGATGTGAGTGGAACGTGAGCACTCCAGCCTCGGGTCGGTGGGCATGGATGTGACAGCGGGGCTCCCAGCCCCGTGCTCCTCCGGCTTAGGGGAGATGCGGACTGCAGTTTTCCTGCCCTGCACCGGACAGTGGGCTGAGCAGAGCCGAGTGATGGTGAAGGCAGACCCGTTCACCTCATGGGGGTAGCCTGGGCTGGGGCGTGTCCTGCCCCTGTGGCCGGACTCCCCCATGACTGCTGCCATCACTGGGGTGCTGCTGGGTACCCCATCAAGCCGCACCCGTCCTCAGAGCCTTGGTGACCTCTGCGGAGCAGGCTCCCTCCCCGCCTTGGGCCCAGCACTAGGCCAGCGGTTGCCATTGCCTGCCATTGCCGTGGCCGCCAGCACTCACCGGCTGTGCATCACAAGCCACCACTGGCCTCCACCCGAGGCTGGGTCTTAGCCTGTTTCCAGATGAGGCCGGTAGCACGCCTGGGGCTCAGAGCTGAGGGAGAGCCAGCTCCCCCCACCCCATCCCTGCCCATGCCCACACAGCAGGTGGTCACCGCAGGTGTTCCTCGCCCGCCCCTCCGCCCCTGCCAGAGGTTTGATGGGAAAAAGGCAGGGCCGCAGGCAAGAAGTCTGACTCCTCTGCCCCAAGGAAGCTGAGGGGCACCTGGGACTCAGCGTGGCACCCTACTGGGGCTGGGCTTCCCCAGGGAGGCAAGGACTCGGGAGAGTGCTGCTCAGTGGGAAGGGCCTGCAGAGCGCAGCACGTGTGGGGGCACAGAGCGCATGGTATGTGCAGGGGTATGGGAAGAGTTCGGGTGTTCCTGGCATCCCAGTCCTGTGCAGGAGCAGGAAGGGGACAGTGGAAGGCTAGGGGGAGTCATGGGGATTTTTGAACATCACCCTAAGCACCTGGCACTTTGAGGGCTGTGGGGCTCTTAAGCAGGGGCGAGTTTTTGAGCAGGTTTAAATCTGCTATGAAAAGATGTGGGGGTGATAGGATCCGGGCTGCACTGGAGGATGGGTGTGGTTGGGGAAGAGACCCCAGTGCAAGAGGTGATGAGGCCAGACTGAGGCAGCAGGCTCCTGGGGCCAGGGGGAGGTGGGGTGAAAGTTCGCTGAGCCCCACGTGTCCCTGGCCTATTAGGGAAACCCAAAGACAGCGGAGGAGACCAAGCCAAGGACAGTGGGGGGAGCTGGGGCTCCTGACTCGGTGAGGGCAGGCCGCAGCTCAGCCGGCTCCCGAGCAGGTGGGCGTCGAAGCCGCACCATTTGCCACGTCGGCCCCTCTGCGCGGTACATCGTGCCTTCACAGGGCGTGTGGACGCACAGTCAGACAGATTGAAAAGACAAGCGCGGTACTGAGCTCAGATGGACAGGCTGGAGTTACGGGACAGAGTTCAGATAACTGTGACTGATATGCTGTGGAAGTTGTACCAAGATGGAGTCACTTATGTCAAACTCTCACAAAACGGAACCGAGAAGCCATGAGGACGCGCCCTGAGCACGTGCCTGTCTGAGACCCATCCCAAGACCGCCCTGAGACTACAGGATCTGAGATGAGCAGCTTCTATGGCACCCTGCGACAGCCAGCCGGCGGGGCCCGCCAGCGGCTGTGACAGCCTCAACCAAAGGCCTTTGTTTCGAAAATGTACATGACTTTCCTTTTTCCTTTTATTTATTTAAAAATTTGGGGGGGAACCAGCAGTTGGCGTAATGGCTATGTTGCTGAACTCCCATATAGTCAACCACGGTTCGAGTTCCAGACCCCTAGGGAGTGATTTCTCACTTTCTGTCTCTGTCTTTCTGGCTAGCGCATGCACCCTATAGCAAAAAACCCTCTCCAAAAATACAAATATAAAAGATGTTTGCTCTAGGGCTCACGCGCTCACCAGAGAGAGAGACAATGAGAGGGAAAGTGAGAAACCACCACCTAGGAGAGGTGGCCACACCATGGCCCTCTGTTCTCTCAGGATTTGGGGCGTGCACACACGCGCCCACAGTGCTTTTCAGGCTGCCAGTCACGCGGGAGTCCAGCATCGAAACTTCCACATCACTTGCTGGCCTCCCCATTTTTATTTTATTTTATTTTTATAATTTTTAAAAATTTTTGCCATAGGGCACATGTGCTCACCAGAAAGGGGGAGACAGAGAGAGACTGTGAGAAGTTAGAAGTCACCCCAACTCCCAGGAAGGATGGCCATGCCGCAGTCCCTTCTCCAGTCTTCTGGGATTTGGGGCCCATTCAAAATTGCGCCTGGCAAGATTTTCAAGCCACTGGGTCTGGGACACCACCTGCAGTCAGCCATGTGAGAGTCCAGTGGCTTAACCACCATGTCATTTGCTGCCACCCCTCACCCCTGCTCACATTTCCTTTAAAAGCTTGCCCCTGCCCCCACCTCTGTGGTCCGCCATGGCAAGTGAGCTGCGACCTCGTACTATTCCCGGATGGAATGTCTCTCTATCACTCGGTGACACAGACTACGGTGCAAAAATAGAGGCCGCTCAAAAACATGCATGGGGGACCAGCAATTAGTGTAACGGCTATGTTGCTGGACTCCTATGTAGTCGACCACGGTTTAAGTCCTGGACCTGGTGGCTTAAACTCAACGCCAGTCACATGTGCTTGCGTGCCCAAGATCCCGAGAGGAGAATGGAGGAGAAGGGATTGCGGCGTGGCCATCCCCCCAGAGGGTGATTTCTCGCTTTCTATCTCTCTGTCTCTCTGTCTTTCTGGGGAGCGCATGCGCCCTATAGCAAAAACCTCTTTAAAAAAAAAAAAAAAAGAACATATGAGGGGGCCAGCAGGTGGCGTGGTTAAGGTTGCTGGACTCCCACATGGGTGACTGTGGTTCGAGTCCTGGACCTGGCAGTTTTCTCTCTCATTTTCCCTCTCTCTTTAGCTCTTGCTCTGTCCCTCTCTGGTCAAATTTAAATAAATAAATAAAGTTAAATAAAATATTTTTTGAAAACCCGAGCATATGGGTAATGTAAGCAGAGAGGGCACCTGGGAGGATCAGAGGAAATCCTGAAGATAGCAAACTAACGGGGTCCTCGGGCCGGCTGCTGCTGCGGGAAAGAGCGGGGAGCCTGAAGCTATGTTAACAGAAATGTCCCAAATAGAAGTGCAAAGAGGAAAAACGAACGGGAAAATGGCAAGAGAGAGACGGCAAGTTACCTACAGAGGACATCCCATCAGGCTGACAGCGGGCCTCTCATCGGAAGCAGTGTGAGCGAGGAAAGAATGGGAAAATATATTCAGAGTGTTAAGAGAAAAGCAGTTTCAACCAAGAATACCGTACCCGGCAAGATTATCCATCATATGGGAAGAAAAGACAAGAACATTCTCAGATAAACAAAACCTGAAAGGATTTAGCAGCACCAGACCGGATCTCCAAGAAGTTCCCATGCGAGTGCTATACCAGGAAAATTAAATACAGACACACAGAAATAAGAGTTCAAAAACTAAGAGAATGGCCAACTTATAGAGACACGTCTGGAGTTGAATATTATACCCCAGAATTCAATTGGGAAGATCGGATCACAACAGAAGATAGATGACGTACATGAGACTGAACGGTGGTGAAACAGCATTTTATGACTTTTGACTAAAACATTGCTGATTTTCTTCTAGGCTTTGTTTTCCGGTTTTAAGGATTTTTGTCCTGTCTTGAGCTGCCAGTAGGTTCATGTACCTACTATTTGAATAGAATCCTAACCTGTTCCCTGGCTTTAAGGTTTTTTTTTTTTAATTATTTATTTATTTAATTTTATTTAGTCATTTATTCATTTTAATTTGACCAGTGAGAGACCCACAGAGAGAACAGAAGGAAAGTGAGAAACTATGCCACCAGATCCAGGACTCGAACCTCGGTTGGCCATGTGGGAATGTCCAGCACCTTAACCACCACACCACCTGCTGGTCCCAAAAATTATTTTATTTATTTATTCACATGAGTTTTGCCAGAGAGAGAGCAAGCTGCCAGGTTCGGGACTCGAACTGTGGCCA